TCAATGGTACCACATATGGAGAACTTGCTGTGTGCCAGGAACTGTGTATTCTGGGACATTTGCCATCATTATCTCACTCATAACCCCCAAATAGCATGTGAAATGGAAATATTTTCATTTTGTGGTTGAAGGAACTGAGGTTCAGAAAGATTATGTGACTTGCACAAGGCCACACAGCTAAGGGCAGTGGTGGGATTTGAACATGTCTGTCTGTCTGACCCCTAAGCCCATGGTGTTAGTGATTCTGAACGCTTTCCCTCTGTGCCAGATGAGAGAGAGAAGAGAGGGGCCCGGTAGCAATGAAGCTGACCCCTGAAAATCAATGGGATCCACATGTACACATACATGCACGTGTATCCAACACACACGCACAAGTGCACTCTCTTGTCCTGGTCGTGTCTAACGCTAACCAGAAGTTTGGCAAGTTGTCCTAGGACTTCATTTTCCCTTTGAGCTCCAGAAATAGGACCACGTGTTTGACAGCAGCTGTATCGTTTCACTTGCTTTGATGCATTGAAAACTTACCCAGGAAGCTTTCATTTCTGGCAGAAATGTGGTGCAACCCTGAAACCCGCTAACTTTTCTGGGTAACTCATATGGGTCAGGACTGCTGATCTCAAGTTAAAGACTCCGCCAAGTGCAGTGTGCACGATTCTGGAAGGGACTGGGAGCAAGAAGGAGGTCCAGTTTAGAGACTAGCAGGGGAGTCACCATCGGATCAAAGGTGGGGGGAGAGAGAGAGATTGACGGCTACCATCTTCAGAGCACACAAGGGTCTTCTGTTTTGGACACAACTTTAAAAAAAGGCACATGGAGCATTCTTTTTCCATACCCATTTAATGCTTATGAAAACTGAGGCAAGCAGAGATGGTGTGATTTGACTGAGACTGAGGTTTCTTCTCAAAACAGAGTTTATTCTGTTGACTCTTTTTGTCCTTGTGAACAGCTCAGAGTAGCTGGAGTCCCTTTTAAATGGTGTCAGCCTGAAAGTATTGGCTCTTTCTGGAAAATGTAATACCTAGAGGCTATTCAGACAGCCACCCTCAACGGCTCCAAGTCTGGGAGGCTCAAGTTGAAGTAAGAGGGAGAGAACATGGGTTCTTGACACTTCAGTATTGTGCATACGGTGCAAGATTTCACAGCTGAGGCACATATGGACACGTCGATCAATCCACCGGCATTTTCTGAATCATAAACCTTTTTAAAAATGCACTTTGTTCATTCCATCAAAAACCGTCCAATAAGCCCCTCCTCATGCCAGGCCCTAAGTTAGAAGCTGTAGACATAGAGACCCATCGCCATATATATAACATCCCTATAGACAGGGGATCATAGTCTAATGACTGAAACATACACATAAACACATAGACTGTTGAGGAATAATATTGTGAAGCAGATGGAGATTAGATGCTTGAATCAAAGTAAGGATTTATGAGTGAAATGACAGGATGTCTGGGATTTCCTTCAATACAGTATGGGAGAGGTGGGTGGGAGTATAAATGAAACAAGATTAACCACGAGTTAGTCACTAATGAAGCTAGATAATGGGAATATGGAGATTCATGCTACTATTCTACTTTTGTATGAGTTAAAATTTTTCTGTAATTAAAAAAGAAAAAAAAAGAATCAAGGAGGCAAAGAGCTGCCACCTTCAGGCAGGTTGTATATGGACATATATTCATGATGACTTCCATATATCATTGTCCATTTTTGGCTGGATTAGACTAGATTAGCTCTTAGGGTAAATCTCAACTCCTTAACAGGACCTACAAGGTTTTACATCATCTGGCCCCTGCCTGCCTGGAGTGCTCTCCTTTCTTCTGTTTTCCCTTTACCCCCAACCCTCTCATCTTGGATCCCATTGCAGCTTAAGTGCCACCTCCTCCAGGAAGCCTGCTGTGATTTCTTTCCCCCTCTTTCCTCTCTTAGACCCATTTTTTCTTTCTTCCTCCCAGCTTGCATGATGTATATTTTTGTAGGATTATTTGACTTGTGTCTGTCTCCCTAATGAGCATAAAAAATTCCATACAAGCAAAAACTTTGCTGTTTGTGCTACAGTATCCTTAGTGTCTAGCACAGAGCTCGACACCTAGTAGCCACTTGATAAATACTTGTCAAATGAATGAATCTCTGTTAAACCTGTCTACAAACAGTGGACTCAGTTATAGTCCCATATAAATAAGGACTTAGGAGAGGAATGTGAAGGATGTCTGCCCTCCCACATGTGGTATATAAAATCTTGGAGTTGGGTTTTTTGGCATTTGGAATGGGAGCCCATCAGGCTCCGAGAAGGAGGTAACAGCTCTCAGGATCTAGGACAGTGTTTACACAGCAGCTTCCACCCCGGATCAAGTTTGTCCAGCCACCATTTGCTTCCACCCTCCTTGGCCGACCCATGGGTGCTTACTTAGACGTGTCGGGAAGGGAGAGAGGAACTTAGAGAAGATTGAGGAAGTTATTGCACCCTGGGAACCCATAAACCTTGGCAAACTCTCTCTCCATGAGTCAGCCTTGGGCTGGAACTTTGGCCTGCCTCCCTTGGGGTAGGGTATGTGATGTGGTCCGTGACATCACCAAAGATCCTACTGGGTAAACGGTCTTTGCCTCTGTTTATGTTATCCCGGGACTTTCAGAGCTGTTTCTGCAAGGGAGGAAGGGTCTTGGAGCTGTAACATGATTCCTGCAGATCAGTTCGTAGGAGTGCTAGGGGGAAAGCACTCTTGGTTTCAGACAACCCCATGTTATGGCTCTGCTTCTATCGCTTACTGCTGTGTGAGTTTGAACAGGTTACATAACCTCTCTGTGCTTCAGTTTCCTGGACTGTGAAGCTGGATTAATAATCCTTACCACGTAGGCTTTGTGGGGATTAAACTAAGTGGTATATTGGCACGTTTCCTGACTACACTGACGTGCTCAAAAGTGACGTTGCTATAATTATAGCATCAAATGCTATGGTGGAGATAGATGCAAGGTTCTATATTGCTGGGGAAGGCAGGAAAGTCTTTACAGATTAGGTGATATTTGAGCTAAATCTTAAATGCTAACTATTACAACAGTAATAAAATAAGAACAGCTCCCATGTATCTTCCATACTAAATTCTGTGCTCGATGCTTCGCGTACATTTTAGGCTCATTCAAATCTCACTACAGACCTGCAAGGAGTATCCTGTCATTAGCCACATTTCACAGAGAGGGGAAGTGAAGCTCAGAGAGGTTAAGTGACTTTCCCCAGGCTACTGAGCTAGTGTATGAGGCCAGGATAAACAGTTCTGTTTGACTCCAAAAGCCATTCTCTTACCCACTGAACTACCCAGCCCCTGGAAAGAAAAGAGATTGGTATAAGGGGTTGGTGTAACATGTCCCAGAAGGAAAGGCTTGGTTATCTCTTCGTCTATTTGCATCTTTATTATTATTGGTTTGGTCTGTCCCGCAGCCGAGTGATAGTTCCAAGAAGGCAGGAGTCGTTCTGTTTATCCATCATTGTCCCCAGGCTGGTGCCAGCTCATAGTTGGTATTCAATAAATCTATGTTGAACGAGTGAAGAATTTGATGGAGTCAACATGCTCTCCCACTTGTGTTACACATCACAGCATGGGTGAACGAACGCATTTGTTTGACCAAATTACTCTCCTGCCCGTCTTCTCTTTAAGAGGAGGGTATCAGCGAAGCCGGGCGATTTTGTAATTGGCCACATGGGATGTTTCTCTACCAGCAGCAGGAATTTTCCAGTCCAAATGATGAGGTAATCTTGCAGGGGCATGATGGCCTTCTCTCCCGGGACCCCATCACCTCTCCCGGTGTCCAGCATGTCTGACATCTCTTTAAGGGCCCAAGATTCATTTCTGGAGACACTTACATTACAGGAGGAGAGGGGACTGGGTCACGTCAACACAGACAAGCCAGGACTCGGCACTTAGCTTTCAGATGAGGCGTTTTCCTGGAAGTTGGTATTACAAATGAAGCGCTCACCTGTGGTGTCAAGCAGTCGCGCGTGGGAGCAGGAGGAGGAAGCAGAAAGTGTGATGCTGGGGGCAGCTGTCTCCCGGTCTGTGTGTGAACAGTGCCAATAAGCTGTCAAGTAAAATTAAGGTTCAAAACGTACAGCCTTCAGTTTGATTTCGCTGAGATGCTGACTGCTGCTCGGAGGAAATGCGGTCGATTCTGTTTTGACAGCTGTTGATGTACGTTAAGCACTAGAAGTCTCCACTCTGTGCCGGATTAATAAAAGTTCACCTGAATTTGCGACTTAAATAGAATCCTATCTGAGCCTGGAGTGACGCTGTTTCTCCTTCCCCCACCCGCTCCGTCCCCCTTCTGTGGTCTCTCCTGCTAAGTCTGCCTTCCTTTTTTCGCTCTTTGATTTCATCTTCCTCTTCCCTTTCCTCTTTTTCTTTCTCTTAGCACCTTTTAAAATCTTTCTCCTTTTCATCGTCTCTCTTTTATTCTTAAAAGAAAAGGTATAGAGTCTCTACTATGTGCCACACGTTGTGTTGTCTGCTTTTCACAAATTGCCTTATCTAATCCCCACGACATCCTTATAAAGTAGGTACAGTTGTGCCTGTTTACAGAGGAGAAAACAGACGCTCCTAGTGGTTCAGAGAGCTTGCCTGGGTTGCACAGTGAGTAAGCGGCGGAGTTGGGGATTCACGTCCAAAGCTCTTTGATTCTAAAAGTCCATGCTGTTTTCAAGACATCAGAGGTCCTGAACTCTGGCAGAACGCTAGAATCACCTGGGAAGTTCTAAAAGTATGAGGCTTAGGCACCACCCCCGTACTTAATTAGTCTGGGGAGGTTCCAGGGCATGGGGGCTGCCCAATATTCTGCTTTTCACTTATCCCCACTTTTCTTGGCGTATAAACACATGTGTATGTTGAGGTAGGTAGCCGAGAAACCCTTAAGATGGATGGGATTCTTCTCCATGCCTCTTACGTGGAAGGACTTGCCTTTCTAGAAGCCAGCGGTCCAAGAAAGCGAAGCGTGACTCTGTCTTTGTGACGCAGGTGGGCAAGTGGGAGAACCAAACGCTGAGCCTGAGGCACGCCGTGTGGCCGCGGTACAAGTCCTTTTCGGACTGTGAGCCGGATGACAACCATCTGAGCATCGTCACCCTGGAGGAGGCCCCCTTTGTCATCGTGGAAGACATAGATCCGCTGACCGAGACGTGCGTGAGGAACACGGTGCCGTGTCGGAAGTTCGTCAAAATCAAGTGAGTCCAGGGGTGCTGTGGGTTCAGTGTGTCTTATCCTTTAAAATAGCACGTATCGTTGATAGTAATGAGATCTATGAAACAATAATAAAATGCATTATGAAATATACTCTATTATAATAGGTATAATATAATCATGGATTTTTAAAGAGACTTAATACCTGGAACTACACCAAGTGCTTTGCATTATTTAATTCCAACAACAGCAGTATGAAGTAAACGGTTTTGCCCATTTTAAACATAAACACTAAGTTACGGGGAGATTTAAGAAACACGTTCGAAGCCATCCAGCTAGTAAGTGGAACAAGTCCATCTGACTCCACCACCATGTTCTTAACCACTGTGCTGAATCAACCCTCCCCTTCAATCTATCCTTAAATAATCATCTCTTGTGTCTTTTTCTGGCTGCTCCCTCCCCCAAGTCTGCACCTTCCACTTCCTTCCATCTCTTTTGTATTTCCAAGATCCAAATTTTTCAAAAGTTTTCACAACTTCTGTCCATTTGGGGGTCAACATACACCTTGCATATGACTTTCTGATGTGATCAAGGTGGACCTGCCCTCCTGGCGGTCTCCTAGGTCACCAGCAGCAAGCAAGCATTGCATCTGGGTCATTTCCTCTTTCGTGATGGCTGAAGAAAGAGCTGATTTTTTTTTTTTTTTATCAGAGCCTCTGGTGAAGGTTCTCCCTAATCTATAAACCCTTTGAAGAAGCCTGAGACTTCATAGCCGAGTCCAAGACCCCGATTATAGTCTTTGCTAATGAAAACATACACAAAAGTATCATCCCTTTGGGGGTTTCACAAAAGGAAAAGGCCTACCATTGGATGGAAATCTCCCTTCTTTCTGAGTATTTTCTGATTGCCTCCTTTCACCTAGCAAACTCTTGCTTGTCCTTTAAGTCTTAACCACTCCCTCCCCAAGTTGGGTTTATTCTCCCCGCTTCCACGGAGCCTGGGTGTGTCTCCATGTCTCAGTCAGCTCAGGCTGCTGGAGCAAATGACCCCAGACTGAGTGGCTTAAACAGAAGACATTTATTTCTCATAGTTCTGGAGGCTGGGAAGCCCACAGTCAAGGTGCCGGCAGGTCCCCGAGTCTGATGAGGGCGCTCTGGTTTGCAGATGTCTGTCTTCTCATTGGATCCTCTCGTGTGGAGAGCAGAGAGAGAGGAAGAAAGCTGTCCTGTCTCTTCTTATAAAAACCTGCGTCCTATCCACAAGGGCTTCACCCTCATGACGCATGACCTCCCAAAGGCCACACCTAGTACCATCACATTAGAGTTTCAACATGTGAATTGGAGGGGACACAAACATTCAGTCCATACCACGCTGTCTCTATCTCTATCACCTGTTTTTATGGCTTATAGTTTGTCTGCATTTCCCCCTAGGGTATCAACTGCCTAAATATAGGGAATGTGGCTTATTGACCTTTTTACCCCCAGTGACAAGCAAAGAACGTGACATACCAATGCGAATGAACGATCAAGGGAATGGATACTTTTCCTCCCACGTTCCAGATTCCAACTCAAGTTATTATTATACAGGATGCAAATCCCCAGAGCTCCACACTTGGGATAAAGATAATTTTTTAAAAATACGATTGCTAAATGTATTATGAAGGCACATTTTGGTTTGGAGAAAATTTCCTTTCGTCAACGAGCAGCCTCTGTGGAGTTGAAACTCTGAAGAGATGAGTCAACAAATAATGATCAGCCTTTTTGGAGTTGTCAGCCTTTTTGGGGTTGAAATTCTGAATGGATTAGTCAATAAATAAATATGCAATAAGCACAGTTTTTGAGGCAGGCACAGTGCTAGGCTCAGGCGGATTACATGCATGGACAGGGAAGACAAAGGACAAGGACCTGGCAGTCATGGAGCATAAACAGCTAAAAAACAGCTCAACCAATGAAAGACCAGGACAGCTCCATGTTAGGGTAAACGTCGTGAAGGATGTAAATAAGGTGGTCTGAGGAGAGAGTGACTTGAAGTATGTGGGGCTCCTTTAGCTCACAGAGGTAAGATTTAAGGTCACATATAAAGGATGAGAAGGAGCCAAGTGTGTGAAGAACTGAGAGAAGAGCCTTCCTGGTAGAGAGAACAGCAGGTGCAAAGGCTCTGAGGGAGGAGAGGTGGGCCTGTTTGGGAGACAGAAGGAAGCCTAGTGTAGGACTATATAGTAATGAGCCGGGGGACACTGGAAGGGGTAATGTGAGAAAGTTATTAAGGGAGGTTTTGGTTTGGGTGGGGGCTCTTTGCACAGCACTTGGTCAGATGGAGAAAGCAGAGTGGTGGCGTAGGTCAAGAGCGTCTCCTCGGTAGGGGCCTCCTTTGTGATAACAAGACTCCTCTGTTTCTATGGAGCCAATCAGGTAGGGCTCTTGTGCCTCACAATCAACAATAGGAGTTTAAAGTCTTTAAAATCAGAAGCCTTGGAGCTGAAAACAATAGATCAACAAGTCCTGAGTCACATTCGAATGGAGAAAATGAACCTCCCGATGATTACTCTCTTTAGAAGAACTGACTTTTCTATTGAGGAATATAGACAGATTACCAGGTCCAAATTCACCTTTTTGGCTCCTGTGGGAGGTGGCAGCTCACTGTTTTCCTAGGTGAGATTCAAGTCTTTGTCTTACCCTAAAGCCATAGAAAATGACTAAGATCCATTAATCCCAACATGAATACAGCTCAGATTCATCGCATTTCCTAAAGGTAACATCTCTGAGGCAGGCTGACTGGTTCCAAAAAGGATTCCTCTTAGATAACATGGTTATATTTGTTTTCTGGTGATTTCTCCCAGGGAAACCCTTTGTCTCTCACTTCTGGTAAATGAGGAGCCTTGAGGGCACACATCAGTCTTCCCAAAAAACCAAGTAATAGGTAATGAGCTGAGAAATCAGACTTTTCTTCTAACCTGTTCATTGGATGTTAAGGCATGAAGAGAAAATTGAGGAAAAATGATCTGGCTTGATACGTAGGGAGAAATGGCCATACTGATTAATTATTCCCCAAACTGTCACATCATTGGTGAGAAGAGGGCCAATGTATTTTTCAGTGCTTATGTGAGAGGTGCTTCAGATGCTTTATTTTGTTTAATCTTCCCAACCATCCTTCAAGGTCAGTGCCCAGCATCTCAATTTACAAATAAGTAAACCGAGGCTCTGTGAATGAAGAGACTCGTCTGAGTTTCCATGGTGCTTAGGAGCAGACCCAGGATCTGAAAGCAGCGCTGTCTGACTTGCATGGCCATGCTCACATCCCCTGGCCACACTGGGAAATGGTAGAGCTGGGGAATTGCATCATTTATTGGATCCCTTTCCCTATATTGTTTTTATGAGCCACCCTTTCTTTTGGGTGATGGTGGCGAGCTGAGGGAGATTGCATGGGTACCATTTCTCTCGGATGTCTATGTGGTTAAGTCACACCCCCTCCTCACGCATGTGGGGGCTGTGATAGGAACCAACAAAATTCCCACTTACAAGCTGGTCTGTGTTTCTAGACTCTCCATGATAAATTCAACTGTCACATTTGCTACTTGTCCTTTTCGTCCCGTGTCCTCAGGGCCTAGTTCCCTGTCCTACAGAGTTGGTACTCAGTGGCTGCTTGTTGGGTGAAAATGCATCAATGACCATCAGTACCTAGAAATGCACCTAGTGTTAGGGGTTTGGGGGGATAATTAACTCATAAACTGCCTAAGGTTCCCAGTGAGGCCAAAGAACTGTGTAAGTGACTATGTGCCTGTGATCTTGAAGCTTAAATCTGGGACTTTTGTAACTCCTGTCCAACCCTCCTGGGAATCTGGACCAGGTGAAGGAAGAGGCTGTGATAGAAGAAGGGAAGGAGCAGAGAGTGAAGGAGACACAAATGGGAAGAGGTGGAGACGAGGCATTGATGCATGGCCTGTAGTGGCCAGGATGAAAAAGAGAGAATTTGATTTTGACACATTTTTCAAAGAGCCACAGATACCAAGAAGAAAACTGTATCTGGACATGCCATTAATTTAGAGTACTTAGGACACATTTCTATCATATTTATGGCAGTTGTAATTCCAGCCTGATGCCCTCTGCTCTGGGAAATTGGTGGGACTAGAGAAGATACCTAATTCCTATTACACTACAGAGTTGAGCCTACCAATCACCATATGTAAATATACACAGATGTGGCCTCCCAAGGCTCCTAAGCTGAGGGCAGAAGGGTCAGAGCAGGTCATCCAACCTGCTCGCTAGAGAGTTAAGTCTTTATTGTGGTATAGTGGTCGTGGCTGGCAGAAGTGGGTTGGTGGAGCAGGGATCAGGGATAGGATAGGAGGGAGGCAATGTGAAGGCAGCAGTCCATGATAGGTGATCTGTGATCCTCAGATAAGGAAAGCATTAAGAACAAGATGTCATTTTGCAACCCACTTCCATTATTCAAAGTTATATTGTCAAGTCTATCCATATTCGTGGGTATAGTAGATATACACCAATGGTGTTTGATGTGTGTGTGTATCCAATTATATATGCAGTATATACTCACCGTAGATCATTTTGGGGGGAAAAAAGCTAAAAAAATGGAAAAGAGAAAAAAACCATTTCTCACCATTCAAAAACAGCTATGCTTCATATTTCATTGTTCTTCCATCCAGATATTTCATGAGTTCACCTGTTATTATATAGTCATGTATCTCATAATGATGTTTCAGTCGATGACGGACTGCATAGATGATGGTGGTCCCATAAGATTAGTACCATAGAGCCCAGGAATGTAGTAGGCTGTACCATCTAGGTGTGTGTAACTACACTCTATGATGTTTGCACAATGACGATATCGCCTAACGATGCATTTCTCAGAAGGCATCCCCCTTGGTAAGTGATGCGAGACCGTAGCTATGATCATTCTGTATGTATCACTGCGTAACCTACTTTTTTCATCTGATGTGGTAACTTCAGTATTTTCCCATTATGATGCTGGATATCCATAAACGTCACTTTAGTGCTTAGGTAACATTCCAACGTGTAGATGTGCCAGCAATGGAATGTTCACACAGAGCACTTATCTCATGACATGCATGACTCAGTGACAGAGAGTTGAGCTAACAGAATGCTCCAGTCCAGGTGGAATCGAGTGTGTTGCCCAGGGAGGTCTTGATCTTCCTGGAGGAGTTGTCTAAGTACTTGTCGCTCCAATTGGGAGGACCCTTGCTTCCTTACCTTTTAAAGACATTCCCGATTTTTGTGGGCATCCTTTGAGGATGACTTGGTCGGTTGAATAATGCAAGGTGACTGGCACAACCAAGCTAACGTTAGTAGATTAGGATAGCTTTTAAGAGGTGTACACTCTGTATTTTAATAGGGCTTTTTCCTGATCAAGGACATTGCTATTTAATAGTGTCGCCTTTTGTACTTCCCTGCCTGTAGGGCGGGAGGGAAAAGATTATGAATGAGCTCTCATTTGACAGATGACTCGATCAAGAGACATTAAGTCCAAGGACTCAGGTGCAGAATAGACCCTGGTCCCCTGATTCTTACCTGAGGAGTTTTCCTCAGCAAGGAAGGTGCCTTTCCTAAGTAAGGTGCTCTTACTTCTTCCCTTTGGTTGCAAATTTTTATCTGCAATGATAGGATAAAGAAAAACTCTTCCTTCCCCTGAGAATTTCACATCTTCCTCTCTTCCATTTTCCAATAAGTTTTTATAATTCAATTTAGATCAGATGACTAAACTCTGGTCTAAAGACGTTGTATGTGTTACAAACTTTTAAAAATAAGAGGTAGTAACTTTCATCTGTGTAATAAGGCTGTGAATACTACCTCAGTAAGAGAAATGTCATGGAAATTAACCCAACAATTAATAGAAAGCATTTAGCACAGTGCGTAGCTAATAGTAATTACTCAATAAATGTTAGCTATTGTCATGAATACCATTGTAACTAGGAACACTTCCTATTTTCACTGTCATAAACTCACTGCATGAACTTGGAAAAGCCACTTCCTCATTTTGAGCATCAATTTCCCATATGAAAAATAGTAGAAGAGGGTAGCCAATGATTGTGAACAAATTCTCCAGTACTAATATTCTATGGTCTTGGGATTTTCTCTACAGCAATTCAACCAATGAGGGAATGAATGTTAAAAAATGCTGCAAGGGGTTCTGCATCGATATCCTCAAGAAGCTTTCCAGAACTGTGAAGTTTACTTATGACCTTTACCTGGTGACTAATGGGAAGCATGGCAAAAAGGTTAACAACGTGTGGAATGGAATGATCGGTGAAGTAAGTTATCTTTTCATCCCCGGGGCTCTCCTTCAGACTTAGGACCTGAGGTCCTCAGGGAAGATGGGAAGGATAAATAATGGTACTGCTCACTTTTTGCCTCGCACCAGGTGGTCTATCAGCGGGCAGTCATGGCCGTAGGCTCACTCACTATCAATGAGGAACGTTCTGAAGTGGTGGACTTCTCCGTGCCCTTTGTGGAGACAGGAATCAGTGTCATGGTTTCGAGAAGCAATGGCACCGTCTCACCTTCTGCTTTTCTAGGTATGCGACCATCATTATCACTCTTGCTCTCCTACAAGGAATTATAGGTATTTTGTCTTGTTTGCTCAAAAGATGGAACTAGATAGGACCTTGTTCAGTTCCATTTTAACCACATCAGCATATTCCAGAGCACGTTGCATTTGAGTTATTCCAATTCACTTTTTTCCCCAGTTAATGTCTTTCATTTATCTTTAACTAGGAAAGATCTGCTGAAAATACAATGACATATTCAGATAGTGGCCTTGATTGTGTAGAATGTAGATTGCTAGATATATTTCTTGGAGCCTTGGAACCATTTAAAAAATAAACCTGTCTGTCCACAGTTAATCTAAATCAGCCCATAAACCTTTATTTAGCATCCACATACTCATCTTCCATCGTTCACTGGAGTGAAAGTCATTTATTTACTGCATGGAGAGTGAAAATAATGACGACTGCACGATGATTTATACTGTACTCTGATAAACAAAACAGAAATAGTCTGAAGAGGATACACTGATTCAAAATTAATGGAATCATATTTCATTTGACTCTGTTTTAAGCTGAATGATTTGTAAAGGAGGAAAGTCTTTTTAACTATTTCATAAATTTATGTCTTTACATAAAAGGTTTTTTTTGAAAGCAAGATAAATCTATATTTTCTATCATCTGGTTTCCTTTAGCACTATAAGTATATATGCATTAGGCAGCCTGGCTAGAGTAGTTGAAATCGTGAAACATACCCAACGGTTATTTATTCTTTCTTTAAAGGAAAGTGTTGTGTTCAGTATTTGGTTATCATCAGTGGTTTTTGATAGTGAAGATCATGGAATTCAGATTAACTTCCCCTCCGTACCCCCATATCAGTGGGTTTGTCTCAAATTTGGGATGGTTAAGATAAACATTGATCTCTAGCAGAAAACCACATGAGAGAGAGAAAACAGTTAACTAAAGCCAACTAAATTTCATACATTTTTCCAGAGATAAAAAAAACTTTTGTCTATTAAGGAATTAGAACTGCAGACTAGACCCAATCTGTGGGCAGCAACTCCAGCCCATGCTCTTATTCTTCCACTGTCTTCATTGACGGGTACTGTCAGCATCCAGTGACACTTTTTATGTTTCATTCTCTTGAGTGAAATGTTGACTAACAGGATTTTGGATACTGCCTCACTCACAGAGACATATGGATTTACTATTTTCATTTTTGATAATCCATTTAAGCTGTTGAAATCCTTACCACTCACTGGCTTTGATTTTGCACTCGCTTCAATTTTCATAACCTTTGTTGGAGTAATGTGAACCTTGACAAACATACACTTCATTATCTTCCTTTTGTGCCTGTGTCTGGTATGGATAATGATGCCTGTATCTTACTAGGGGAGCCTCACTCTGCCACAAAAAATGCAACTGACTGATATTGACAACACGTGCAGAATCTTAATAACTGTTGGGTAGACTCTCACTCATTAGTCACTCCTAATCATCTTTTCCCCACTTCTTATCAGACACTTTGGGGAACTTTGGCCCTGGAGATTAAGAGAGGATTGGAGGAAGTGAGTCCATGGAAAAAATGGAAAAGAGATCTGTTTCTTTTCTCAAGTTGTCCACATATCTCCTTAGTGAGCTAGAGAGAACTTTTTTCCAGTTCAATCAGAGAGAAAATAATATCAATTGTCTTATAAAAATGGGTCGCTGATATTCAATCTGGCCTCAACCCAGTTTTCCTAGATTCTTATCTTATCTGCATTAGTAGAACATTTCCATAGAAAGTCGTGTTTTTGCTAAATTTAGGCAAACCTCCTTTTCCCCCTACTTTTCCGACTGTCTTAAAAATAAAATTAAATTGTAGCTAGAGAAAACTATTTTCAAAGCTGTTTTAACACAGTAGACTTAAAATTTTTCCTAGTCACTAAATTACATCCCTATTCGATTGACTATGGACCCCCTTATTTACCATCATTATCTGCAGGTTTTGAAAGTCATAATGAACCGTGCTAAGCTACATTTTCCCATTCACTGGCTCAGTCATCTGGAAGAGCCAAAACATTCGAAATCTGATTGCATTGCTCTTCGTTATTTCCTATTCTCTCTCTGCAAACTCCATTAACTCACTTCAGAAACCCTTGCAGGTAATGCCTCTGAGCTTTTGTGTAAAAATGTAACCAGCGACTCTTCAAGGACAGAGAGGACATCTCTTGCAATATTTCCATTCACTTAATTCTAACGACTTTCCAGGCAGGTTCGATTCTTTGATCCAAAGAAACGCTGACCTGGAGTCTCCTAGATCGAAGTTCCTTCATGGACAAATGTTGAATGTGTTTTAAGCCAGTAGAGGATGTAATCCAGAGCAATCTAAAAATATTTCTGGGTCACTCCTTAGACATTATACATAGTGCTTCACTATTGCTCTAATGCTTTTCTTCGTTGTGGGGTGTGTGTGTTTGTGTGTGTGTATGTGTAGTGTCTGAGAATAGCAATCCTTCAGAGCACTAGTAGTACCTAAATTCTTAAAACCGGAATACTGCAGCAGAATCCCTTTGTCTCTGTGCCATGCTCACAAGTCAAGGGAGAGATGTCACTTCCAAGTGAGAAAACATCTGGGATCAGCTTCTTGATCAGCTCCCACCTAATTTTCTGACCAGTTAGTGACTAGGATGCATCAACTGCCAAATAAAGTCCGCTGTAGGTTTGCAGATTCTGACATGTGAATAGAAGAATTCAGTGAAGATTTCCCCTAATATTTTTTGTAATGTCATCACAACCTGCAGAGAAAAGGAAGTTATCAGATTAACAAGTGCGTGCATGTTTTAAACCAGGATGACTTTGTCAGGACCCTGGACAACACACCATGCCCACCACCAATTCTGGCTTTAACCATGGAATCAAACAGCTATTCCATTTAATTCGTTGTGTGTATACAGTGTGCAACACACATCATCAACTGTGTATATTACCTGTATATGCTCATTTACTCATCACAATGATCCTCCTCCAGTAAGACACGCTACGACATTGTATGTCCAACTTGGAGGATTACTTTAGCATCTCTATTCTTGAATATTAAGCAATTTTTAATCTCCTAATTATTCATTTACTTCTCCTTTTTGGATACACCTCGTTACCAAATTGCTATGATTTCAGGGACATCCTATTGTTAATTACTCAAGCTAAATTTAACTAAGATAAATTTCAGTCGTAGTTTCCTTGATTTCTTCGAGCTCATCTTGTGTTGAGTTGTGTTGTTACCTGTTGCTTTTGGACATAGTTGCACTATCAAAACTGCAACGCAAAGCATTCCTTCCAGTTTTAAAATTGTCCACTCTAGTTAAAGCTTCAGACGTGTGAATTTCTGGTTATATATTAAGCTCATTAAATTGGAATTTGTGATGACCTCTAGCTGTGTTAGGTAGTCACAGAGTTTAATAACAAGGTGGCCTGCTGTCAGTCTAGTTCTTTATGATTATTACTAGCTTCGTCAGGAAAGCAATTTAAAAATAATAAAATGTCTACAATTCAAGAGGTATTATTGGGCTTCTTATATTTTACCCTCAGAAAATGTTTGCTTATGATGGAAAGGATTATAAGTTCGTTGGTGTCCAAGGGCGGTTTCTTCCCAATGGTGCATTCAGATGGCGATACAGTCATTTTTTAAAAATTTAATCTCTGTTGATTTTCTAGCAAATCTTTGTCATACATGGATAAAATGGCTCCTTTTGGCTCATTTTCATATCCTCAATCAGACTGAATAAAAATATTAATTTATTTTACATAATATCTCTTACCTTTCTAGAGTGTTCTAAGATTTAGAACCTTGTGACTTGGCCAGCCCTTCTGAGACATCCACATGAAAATGAACTGATGAAAACTACTTTTAGGGGAAATAATTATCTATTACTTCATTGCTTCTGCTCTGAAGTGATGCTTTTTCACTGAATTATCTTGTGAATGTAATATCCTCAAATGACTTTTCAATTGCATTTAAGCCCGTTACCAACATCAACAAGATTTTAAAATTGTAGAGCTCTCATCTGTCTGCAGCAGAAGGTGAAATGGAGAATGTGGTAGTAGTGGTGGCAGCCTATGACCTCCCCATGTTCCCATCAATCCCGTGATTTTATGATCCTTTTCTAACAGGTTATCATTCTCCCTTTACTCCTGGAATTCCCTGGACATCACTCCTCCCGGATGTAAAAATAAAAATGAAAATAAAAATAAAACTCATGCTGATTTACAGGAGCCTTGTAATTGGCTTTTTGAGTCTAGACTTGTTTCTCCCTAGCTTTGGTCCCCTGGATGACTCTATGATTATTTAGTCATGCACCACATAACAAGATCTCAGTCAGTGACAGACGGCATATATGATGGTGGCCCCATAAGATTAGTACCATAGAGTCTAGGTGTGTAGTAGGCTATACCATCTGGGTTTGTGTAAATACACTCTATGATGTTTGCACAATAATTGAATCACCTAACAATGCATTTCTCAGAATGTGTCCCCAGGATTAAGTGACATATGACTTATAGGACCCTGTGGCCTCTTTGTTTGCATTCTAACTTTCTCCCTTGGTCTTACCATTCTTTTGTTTTTATTATCCTTGACCTGATTTATAAAGTGTCATATGCTCTTCTCTATTTTTATCCTATTATGTGCAGTCTTTTAAAATACCTCAAATATTTTGTAGAATAAAGAAAGATTTAAACACGTGAATAAACAATGATTAGCTTCTTTCAAACGGTCAGATTCACACTAGCGAAAGTTTCTCGGTCAGCCCACAAATGGCGCTCTGGGCTTCCTGCTGGCCCCGGTGGTGAGGAAGAGTTAACTGACCCTGTTTCTATTCCCCTGGCCTGTTTATCTGCAGAACCGTTCAGCGCCTCCGTCTGGGTCATGATGTTTGTGATGCTGCTCATTGTCTCCGCCATAGCTGTTTTCGTCTTTGAATACTTCAGTCCTGTTGGATACAACAGAAACTTAGCCAAAGGGAAAGGTAGGACGCCTTCAAAGCGTGACTCAAAGCTGATGCTATTTAATTGACTTTCAGTGAGTATTTCAGATTTAGAACACAGTATCCTATATTGCCTTCCTATCCCATCATATGAATGGTGTTACGTCATGGATATTCCTTATAATTCCATACAAGGATGGGATATTCACTTCAACTGAAAAAAGGTTAAAACAAAATGAAACGTTTTAATCTTGTTACAGTGTGGAGCCAATAGCTGTTAGGTGAAAACTCCCCGTCTTCAATCTGTGGAGAAAGCAGATTTGAAGGTTTTTTGGTAATTAACTTAAAAATCTGTGTCAAAAGACATGTTAAAATTGTAGTGAGCCTCACCTTCAATCTGTGCAAAGAAAACGGCTTTATAGTTTAAATGGCTTAAGAATATTCTCCAAACTACTGAATCATTGCATTTGTTTCACCCTAAATATAATTACAAAACGGTATTTTTCCCTCAAGAGTTACATTTTCCTCTTGACAGTGCCTGACCCTAGTGCTTGACAAAGTGGCGATCAGTAGATAGAGAACTGAACTGGGAGGCATTCATTGGCTATAACTCATTAAGAGGCTCCCACACAAGCCAGTATTCGTATCGTACACATAAACACATTACACCATTTTGAGTGAATTTTCCTCAATGCACAACACTTCTAAGTGGATGGTATCAGAAGGGTGCCAGGACCAAGTCTCTTCCCTGAACAATGACTCAAGATGGTGGAAGATGGCAGATCTTCAAGGTACTGTCATTCAAAAACAAGGCCCTCTAATTTGCCACATGTTGTTTTCACTTGTAGGATTCTGTCTTGGAAACAGTCCACAGGTCCTGGGAATCTATCAGGAACTTAGTTTTATTGAACTCTTCCCACTTCTTCTTAACCATTGGAGAGTGAATGGTTACTCAAAAACCATCTCCAATCAACCAAACCCTAGAAAAACGCCATAAATCATCATATTCTGTTTAAATGGGAGAATTGCCAGCCTTCATTAAAAGGGTAATGCAACTAACCAGCGAGGAGCTTTCCAACAGAGTGGAAGGATAAAAAGTTATCTGAAGGCCATCGAGTGCAAGAATTTCTCCCTTGGCTGAAGCTCACTCTAGAAGACTATTTGAAGGAAGGGATCTAGCTTGCCCACTCCCTACCCCTTCCATTCATTACCTGGAAGCTTCTTGTTTCCTGCTCATCTGCATGTGGAAACTCTCTGGAAAGGAGAGCTACTTGTTTCTTTGGGCAAAATGTTTTTCAATTCCATTTCACCGCACTTTGCGGGGAAAACTACGCAGCCCAGCAACAGTACTCGGGAATCAGGGATTCCCGAAAGTCTTGGACAGATCCCTTGCAACTACCTGTTTCTGCTTCCCAAGTAGCCGCCACTGCTGATCAGTATGCATCCTTAACAAATTAAGCAGTTCATGAAGTTAACTGGGTTCACTAGAATTATTTTTTCCTGAGTTCTCAGCCTCTTGGGAATAAGCCCAGAAGATCATAAAACTAGGCAAAGAGAAACAGGAGATCTTGAGACGGGGACGAATAGAATTCATTGCCTTCTCTTTAGTGTGTTGTCTGTGGACGTTATAAGGATTGCTACAGCCTGAGTTCAGCCTCCAGTGTGTGGAAAGCTCGCGTCTCCTCGGCTCCCTGCCCGGAACTTCATAAGTTCCATCCATCTGAATTCACTTCTGCCCCTTTATTTATTGCCCACTCTGCTTGCATCGCCAACTGAAGTCGGAGTAGATCATTTTTTCATATCTTCATTTACTTAAATGACATAAAAATTAACCTTGTGTTAAAGGAAGATGTTTTTTCCCATGAAATGAGGGCATAAATTGATTTTTTTTTCCGCTGTGCAAAACAGACTCGAAAGCCCTAGCGTGTGCGTTTTACAGGCTGTGTAGTCCCCACGCCAATGCATTTTGCCAAATTGTTCTGGCTCTTTCGTTAAGCCTGTTGCAAGGAACATTGAAGAATCTTAAAAGGGACACATAGCTGTTGCAAGGACACACTGAGGGAGAAAAAGTGCCGGCCTGTCACAGTTCATTTCCCATGACCCCGCACCCGAGAGTCTTCCATCTGTGAAGTGTTGGAGGAATTAAGCTCTATTGTTCCGTTCCTTAAAGTCTCTCCATTTGGAGAGGGTTTAGTTTGGTTTAATTCCTATGTTGTGTACATTTCACATCTGAGTTGGAACAGGAGCGATTGCTAGGGACATTCAGATTAGAATAGCGAACGTCAGTCCCTCTGAATTGCGTGGTTCTTGTACGATGGTGCACACATCCGACGAATACCGGAGCAGCCCCCACACACACGTTATTGTAAGGCTGTCTTTACACTTATTAAGGAGATTGATCTGAAATCAAATCCATATTTAAAACAGGTTGTAACACTACTTCTCATTCAAACCCACATTTTGCATCGCCATTTTCTCTTCCTTTTTTTCTCTTTTTTATTTTCTTTTAAGAAACAAGGCAAACACCCAGCTAGATAGAAATGTGGGAAGAATACTAATTTTTAAAGAAAAAAGGACTGATTGTGGCTGTGGTTCTGGGGCAATGATGGGAGCCAACGATGATACAATTGCATCTTCTGCAACCTTCCGTGTTGCTGGGGGCCACTGCATAGTTATCAAACATGTGTGCCTTTTGAGACAGCACTGAGAATGTCCTTTCTGTCATTCGCAGCACCCCATGGGCCTTCTTTTACCATTGGAAAAGCTATATGGCTCCTTTGGGGCCTGGTGTTCAACAACTCCGTGCCTGTCCAGAATCCTAAAGGGACCACCAGCAAGATCATGGTGTCCGTGTGGGCCTTCTTTGCCGTCATATTCCTGGCCAGCTACACAGCCAATCTGGCTGCTTTCATGATCCAAGAGGAATTTGTGGACCAAGTGACGGGCCTCAGCGACAAAAAGGTAAGGTCACCTTGCTTTCCTCTCTGCCCGAGGGGTTGATCTCAAATGCTCTCCCCTCCAAAGGGAGCGATTCAGTCTGCCTTGATACAAACCCATCAACTCGAAAGCACAAAGCCAGAGGATTTTCTTCCCTCCTAACTTAAATTGGCATGTTTCTAAAAAGTTTAGGGACAGAATCGTCAACTTAGCTCTCCTAAGTCTAAAAGACTCCAGATGGAATTCGGAAGCATAGTTTCCCCAAGTGGTCATTTCTCATGTTTATGTGATCTTGCTGATGATGCTTACAGAGGCTCTGTGACTCAAGGGCGTCTTGGAGCTCAGGCTGGAGTGCATCCTTTCAAGGAGAGTGTAATGTTGGGGAAGATCCTCTAGCCTGGACGAGGAGAAACTTGGGGTGAAGTAGGGTGTTCTAGGCTGTAGGTACCTCCCAGTTCTCTGACGTCGAATGAGTCTCTTATCTACTCCATGCATTAAATTCTCCATCAATGGCATGAAAATAAACATCACCTCTAAGCCCCACCCAGAGACAAAACTGACAGCTCCTTTATACTATGTAGCAAGTCAGCCCCGGCACCAGCACTCCCAACTCACCTGAAATTTCTCCCAGGGACGCCAAAGGAGCAGAGAGGTTTTTCATTTCCGCTGGTTCCTTTTACTCAGACACCTCTCCAACCCTCCCTCATGGGGCTCTGCTTCCCACACCCGTGGGAGGGGAGCGATAACACCTGCTCTCTCATTCTCCACTGAAATGTAACGAGGGCTGCGGGGTGTGAGAGGCTATTCAGAAATGCACGCAGAGGAAGAAAAGAGGTAAGCCGGGTGCATCCTTCTATTGAAATTTTAGGTTCAGGAAACAAATCCCGACTTGCTAAGCTCAGCAGTGTGGGAATTGCAGCACGGCAACGATTTTCTGTCTCGTGTGCTTGGATAATTTGTCTCTCTTTATAAAATCTTGCTATCCTGTCTTGTTGACGTAAGTCTACATATTTCCTTTCTGCATCCATCAACAAACTGCTGAATAGAAAATCAGCCCGTGAAAAGCCTTAACAGCTTATCTGTGACATACGCTGTGGGTGAAAGAGGTACAGAGGGACCTGTCCTCAGAGAGATGATGAGCATGGGGTGATTTACCTTCACAAAAGCGCCATCACCCTTGGGAGTGGTTGGCCTCTCTCGGATGGCTTCCCACTGTAGCTTGAGTCAATGCCACTCTACTCACCATGACGCCAAAGCCTATGGCCCATGTTCCCTCCCTCTGGCTCAGTAAGGCCCTTCTCTGTTCCTTAAACACTCCAAGTTTATTTCTACTGCGGTGCCCTGTCCCCTGCCAGCAGCGTTCTTCCCCCATTATTCTCATGACTGGCTCCTCCTTGACTTTCAGGCCTTTGGGAAAATATGACCTCTTGGGAGAGGTCTTCCTGGCCACTGTGGTGAACTTGGCAGCCTGAGCAATTCTAGTAGGAAGAAATAAACAGCATGCAAGTAAATGTAAATGGAGAAGAAAATTCCAGGCGGAGATGAGTGTTATAAAGGAGATAAGACTGATGAGATTAAAATTGACTTAGGGGAAGGGGATGTCAGGGGAGTGCTTACGATAGAGTCATCATCTGGCACTCAGTAGGTGCTCCGTGCATTCTTGCTGACTGAGTGAGGGATGCAGGGTGTGTTGGATACTGTAGGCACCCCACCTGGCTCTCCTGGGATCCCCTCCCAGCTCTGTGCGCCCAGCCCAACCTTAGCTGACAAAGGCTCACACCAGGGATCTTCAGAGGATGATTACCTTGGGGCCCAGGAGCTGTAAATGCCTGGAAATTTAAGTTCCCTCAGTCCTTTCAGTTGTCTGTACCCAACGGCTGACAGTGTGAGAGTCCAGAAGCCCGGCGCTCAGTGGCTTCTATGCAGGGCAAGCTCAGAGGCGCAGTGTACTCTCCAGAGCTCCCTCAGGACCAGGCTAAGACTTTGCCTAAGATCACACCCTTGGTTGGCTTCCTCCCCTTCTCCAACTCCTTCCCCAACTTTCTTCCTGGTTTCTCTTGGAGTCTTCCCTTAATAAATCATGTACACCCAATTCCTTGGCTCAGGAGTGGCTTCTGGCTGACCCTGCCTGGGGTTTATGGCATCTGTGAGGCAGCACATAAAGCCGTGCACTTAAGAGTGGGGGAAAGTCTGGTTCCTGTTTCCCCTCTGCCCCTTACGAGCTGTGTGGTGCCGTTACAGTCACGTGGCTTCGCCATGCCTCCTCATCCCTCTCTGTCAATTTGGGAAACATAGTTGTAGTGAGGACGGAAGGACACTGCAAACGTGAATCTGCCTTGCAGCCTATAAAATCCTCTGCAGACACACAGCATGGCTATATGATTCCATCACATCACGGGAGCAAAAGTACAATCCCTAGAAGAAGTGACCAGAGGCACAGTGGAAGTGGTAGGGAGCCATGTCCTGGAGGAGGGGATTTTTCAAGAACATCTTTGGCAGCATACTTTGCTTTTTGTTGCTATTTTCAAAAGCAAGGGGAAAAAAAATCCCTTGCTACATAGTTTTGGGTCTGAATAACATGACTGCTTGTGGGAAAACTAATTAGAACCACTAATAATTAGACTGACCTTCTCTGCCTTGGAAACACCTAATAACAGATACCACATCCTTAGGAAACACAGCTCAGTTTCCATGCTCAGAGCGTTAGCAGGAACCACATAGCTCTTTTAATGAAATGTTTGATACAATTAGATAAACAGTGAAATTCTTGGAGTAAATAAGCTAAATGCTTCCAGAAGATTAATAGCAGATACACCAAGAAAGTCTGCAAAATAAAAATCTATATTAAATCAATTTAATATTATACACAAGTGGGGTTTTTTTCTTTCTATCTTTTTCTTGTTATGAAGACCTGTGTAACAACTCAGAATTATAATACTTTTAAGCCATTTGCAATATGAGTGCTTGCTGGAAAAAGGCACCTTTGGAGCCCATGATGCTCTCATAGAAGCTTAGGTTTAAGTTCTAAGTAGGTGAACTCCTGGGTAGATGCTCCCCTGGGAATTGTTAAAGGAAAGTTGGAAGGATGGTGGGGACTCTTTCCAAGATGGTGGGAATCACTCTGGTAGAGAAAGTCCATCTCTGGGAGGCAGAGCAGCGTCATGTTTGGGGTCAGACGGACCTGCACACACACGCTGACCTTGCCATATAATGATTGTGTGATATGTCAATATCCCTAAGGCTTAATTTCCTAATAAAGGGGGAGGGGTGTTAATACCATTCTGGCAAGGTTGATATGAGGATTAGAAATCATCCTCACACTGTGCCTGGCACACCGTAGATAATCCTAATCCTATTATAAGTGTGATGTCCTCCTTCAGCCCCCCTCCCTCTCTCCTTCCTCTCCACTCCCCCCTCCGTTCTCCCCATCTTTCCCTTCATCTCCTTCCTTCTCCTCGTTATCATCATCACTGCCTCATTTCAATCAGCCTTCACTTCTGGGCTCTGAGGAGTCATTGCACTGAGTTGGCCTTTTGTGGCAGCAATGGGGGGAAGTTGGGGAACTTCCCTTGGTAGGTGAGCCCAGGGATGTGTTCTCGTGGAGTTGTGCTGTCTCTGGGCACTGTGATTAGACTGCTGGGTGGTCCTGGACCACCAGACTTATTGATCGAATGCAGGCCTCTGAGCCTCTCCTCCCTTTTAAGGTCCACTCGTGTTTGACACCGACATCAAAAAGCATGTGGAACTCACCAGCAAGAGAAGACCATACTAGAAGTAGGGGCTGCAGTAGCCATTGTCCGTTATTTACAGCCACAGAAGACAGATAGATTTTTTAAATAAATGTGTAGTTTGGGGTTCATAAGAGGAACAAGGAAATGTCCTGGTTAATTGCTACATTTTTTTCTAAAAAAATTTATTTCCTAGACTTGCATCTCTACTTCCTCCGTCATAAAATGCTTTCCATGTCTGCTTCACTTGGATGACTCTGAGACCTGTCCACTTAGGGAAGGGAAAAAAAAAATTAGAATGTAATCTTATAATCCTCCAAATTGGAGAGATGCCAGCTCTATTATTTGGCTCAAGTCGCTCTGGGTAACAGGAGGTGATGAGGTGATGTATATCAAGCCTTAGGGGGTGTCAGGTATTCTTTCAAGCATTCTGTGATTAGTTGCAAAGGCAATCCCCAATTTACAGGTAGTGAAATTGAGGCTCAGAGAGCTAAAGCAGCTGCCCCAAACCACTGAGTTCCGGAGTGGCTGGTGAGAAGCTGAACCTCGAAGCCCAAGGCCAGGGGAAGCCAGTTAACATGAACAGTGAGGGCTACTTTGAGAGAGGGGAGCCGTGAGGAGTTCCTCTGACCTGTGATTCCCTTGCTCTGAGGGCTTGCTGGCGGTGGAAACCTCTGCAGCGCCCTTTCTCTTGCTAAAGCCCACATTTACGTCTTTCTGCTTGCACACGAAACTCTCTGGGACAAAGTTGCACTAGAAATCACTCCTGTAAGAAGCACGGAGTGTGTGCTTGATGCTCGGCCCTGGAATTCCAGAGATGAGCCATCCTGGCCCCGTTTTTCGCGCTGTAGATTGTGATTCTTTTGTGAGCCATGAAATTAATTTAAGGATTGTGACCATTAAAAAAATGGAACATAATGGATGACATCAGAATATATCACCTGTAGAAAGGGGTGCTGGGAAGTGCTGTGCATGCACACATGTGCGTGTGTGTGTGTGTGTGTGCACGTATGTCTCTACAGGGCTGGGATGGAAGATGTATGGTGAGCCACGCTTTAAGAAGTTTGACAGCTTTTAGTGTAGCGGGAAGGGTTCCCGGATCTGGGTGCTGGGGTCACTTTTGTGTAAGTGAGGTACCATCCAGGGCAGAGAAGTGTGGAAATTCATCATGGAGGCTGAATATCTGTAACACTGTGCAAACCAGAGGCAGGAGAGAACTGGAATCAAAAGGAGCCATGTAGCTCCTCGGCGACCAGATGGGAGGGAAGTGTCAGGCATTTAGTCAAATAGGCTGTCTGTGGAGATTGGGAGCGGCTGCTACAACTGGATTTACGGACGGCCCTGGTACCTCTGTCCCCCAGAACAGGCAGCTGCTGACTCCTCCTCTTTGGGTGACGAGCTGAGGCTCTGCTCGCCAGTGTGAGTGCAAAGAGCATTTTGCTGTCCACACACACACACCAACACACACACTCACATCACAACTAAGGCGCCCAGCGGGAGGATCTCGTTTGGACAATGTGTGGCCGCTTCCCCCAAATCTGGTTGCAGCTGCTTATTAGGCAGCAGCATGCCTAATTTAGGGGAAACGATTTTCAACTGGAAATTTTAATTAACGGTGAAGTGAAGTGTGAGTCTGGAAAGAAGAATAATGTTTCGAGTTGGTCTGACATTTGGGTAAACTTGGATGCTTTCTCCAGCGGTTCTCAATTCCGGGGAAGACATGCTGGCCTGGAAGTCTGAGAGACCTCTGGATTCTAGCCCTGGCTCTGCCGTGGATTTGCCGGGTGTCCTTCCCCTCTCTGGATCTCAAGGTCCTCACCTCTAAAAGAGGAGGGGTCACTAGCAAGAGTCTCTGAGGAACAATGGAGTTCAGACCTTAGCCTGTGGTCAGGAATATCTAGGTTTGAATTCCGGGTCACTACTTTTTTTTTTTTTTTTTTTTGGTGAGGAGGATTGGCCCTGAGCTAACATCTGTGCCAATCTTCCTCTATTTTATATGTGAAATGCCACTACAGCATGACTTGATGAGCAGTGCGTAGATCCGTGCCCGGGATCCAAAGCTGTGAACTCTGGGCTGCCAAAGTGGAGCACTTGACCTTAATCACTATGTCACTGGGCTGGCCCCTCGGGCCACTACTTTTAAGTAGTGTAATCTTAAATAGGTCGCATAACCTCTCTGAGCCTCAGTTTCCTCATCTGTAAAATGGAGCCCCTAAGATTAGCTACCTGGCCGGGTTGTTGTGAGGATTAAATGAGCCAGAGTTTGTAAAGTTCTTGCCACAGTGCTGGCCCCAAGCAAGTCCTCAAAAAGTGTTAGACATTACTATCATTACTTTCTAGTTCCAGAATTCCCTATTTCACAGAAAAATGGGGCCCAATTTCCTTTTTCTGCCCATGATGATAGTAAAAATGAAACATAGTAATAGTTTGATTTTTGAGTGCTTACTCTGTTCCAGGCACTATTCTAATGACTTGACAAACATTTTAATTTGAGATCTTCCCATCGACCCTGCAAGGGAAGTAGTGACATGTTTCCCACTGTGCAGATGGAAAGTAAATGGAGGCAGCGTGAAGTGAGGTGACTTAGCTAAGGTGTCATAGTTTGTAAGTGATAGAACCTGATTTTGTAACGTGTGAACCTGAGCTCTCATTCATAACCATCGCCCTGTGCTGCCTCTAGATTTTAATTGTGTTTCCGGGGCTCAGACTCGGTCCTCTTGACTCCTAATCTGGTTGGGTTGCCCCAGTTACTGAGGTTGTGAACAGACTCATCAGCCAATCAGAGAGGGCTAGTGAAGGTGGACAATGAGCCTTTATGGAGGGTCAAGAGCCGTACCAGACATGGGCATCCCCATTAGGAAGCTATCGGTTAGTAGGGGCTTGAGCTCCACAAACATTCCTGGAGCCTGCCGCTATGCCTGGGATGTGTGAAGCCCCCAGTAAGTATCGCATGCATGCATGAGTGAGTGTGGAGAATGAGTGAATGGCAACATATAGTCATTGTAGGGGAGGAAAAATAATTTTCCCTCTACCATCTAGGTTCTTGGCTGAGACCCCTCTATGTTAAAAGACAGATTAACGGGAGAAAAACACACAGAAGTTTACTAACGTGTATACCTCCTGTACGCATGGGAGAGACCCAGGAAAACTGAGTAACTCTGAAATGGCCCCAGCCACCACCTTAAACACCATCTCCAGCTAAAGAAAAAGAAGATTTGGGGAGGTCAAGGGGAGGCCAGTTATGGGAGGTGACCGGGAAAAGCACAGTACATGAGGGTGTGGTTGTTAGTTCAGATTTCAGCCCTCGCCTTCTCCACTGACAGGAATTTCTAGAGTTTTAGTCATTTTCTTCTTCCAGGTACAGAGATGAAGAGTCCCTTAGAAATGGAGGCTTTCCTAAGAAATGTGAATTTCTCTTCCAAAAGGGTTAATTTCTACTCGGTTTTCAGAGCTTCTCCTGTGTCTGCTGTTTCTTAAAAATAACCAGCCTAAAATAATCCTTATGCCAAAGAGGCATATTTCGGGGTGGCAAATTCTGCCCCCCTTCATCATTTTCCAGGGGAGGTGACGGGGCCTGTAAAGGGAGGTCAAGGAAGAGATTGACTGGTGTGGATCACAGAAAACTTCATTATAAGGTGGATAGATGAACTGAACCAAATTAATACCTTAATTCCTGCTCCACTGGGGTTCTGAGCCCTGCCTGTGTGCCTACCACCAGCCTAGTCTCTATAATGGGGCCGAAAATCTCAATCCAACCAATATGTGTTGTGCACGCAGCCGGGCCCTGCTGGGCACTGGGGAAGATTGCAAAACAAGACAGACATGGTTTCTGACCTCCTGGAGCTCACGGACCAGTGGAAGATGTGATTAAGTAGAAAGCAAGCACAAAGATGGTTTTTTGCTGTCCTGTGCTAATGCGTGCGCCCGTTTAACTCCTGACACAAGGCAGAACCACGGCTGACTTCTCCTCCTCCTCTTTCTCCTCCTTTCTCTGTCTCTCTCTCTCCAGTTTCAGCGACCTCACGACTATTCCCCGCCGTTTCGATTTGGCACGGTGCCCAACGGCAGTACCGAGAGGAACATTCGGAACAACTATCCCTACATGCATCAGTATATGACCAAATTTAACCAGAAGGGAGTAGAAGACGCCTTGGTCAGCTTGAAAACCGGGTAAGGATGGCGGTTTCTTTTTCTCGGCAGGACTGGTTATGCCAGCACATAAACCTTGCAGAAAATGACTGCCTGCCTTGGCGCTTATCTCCGCCCCCCCCCCCCCCCCCCCCCCCCCACCCGCCCAAAGAATGGATGGGGACACTGTGGCTCAGAGAGGCGACATGACTTGTCCAAGGCCACAGCTAGCTAATGATGGAGCCCGGACTCAAACCAAGTTGGGACTCTCATTCAACCAGAATCCACAACCCCTCTTGTGTTCCAGGCTCTCTCAGAAAATTACGACCCCAGAGGAAACCTCCCCATTTCACTGCTCCTGGTGTGTACACGTCTTCAC